CCTCCCCTGGCGGTCTGCAGGTCGCATTCCTGCCGAATCATGGTGTCGCGGACTTCACGATGCAGAGGACGATGGTTTTCATGGCAGACATGCAACCTGTTCTCCCGCTGGACATATGGGGGGTCTTATTACTCTCACACGAGGGAGCCGCACTGCGGGATGTACTCGCAGACCGCGAGGGCGAGTGTCCCGCATTCGCGACATGGTCATTGGATACACTCGCGTCCTCGCGCACACTCATCGTCACACGGCTCCGGGCAACGAAACGAACGTTTCCTGCACTCGTACAGAAACTGGTCGAGTATGCTAAGAAATGCGACGCGCGGAAGATTGAGATTTGGGGGATGCAGGAGGAGCTGCAGGAAGTTGCGAATGGGCTGGGCTGGACGACTTCTGCGCGAGACAATCATTTGTCGTCTTTTAAATGGTATGGAAAGGAGGTGGATGAGGGTATTGATTGGATGTTCAACGAGAGGTGTGTACAAGGGTTGCTCAGTACCAAGAATATTTAACGTTATGCATATGCACAGGTTCTGCCAGTGCTAATAGGGATTTCTTATTCTCATCTTCAATTTTTGGCACCATTTGAATCTCTACTAGAGCTCACAGCTGTATTTAACTCCCTGCAATGTCAGGACTCTTTTTCATTACAACCTTGGACAATCTCGTCATTTACATTTCAAATTCAATGCTCAAGTTCGCCGTCGTCAAAGACCTCCAGTGCCTCGTACTTCATCCCCGCGAAATTGTGCGTCTCATCTCGAACATTGCATCCCGACCTCGTGAGCTCGTTATGCGCGCTCCCTCCTCATTTATCGTGTTCCACGTATAGTGATTGTTTCCCGACTGGAAAACGCACCGACTACCCTTGATCTCAGCGTGTTCAACTTTGTCGATCTTCAGCCCGGTTGATTCGCTGAGCATCTGTTTCGCAGCGTCCACAAGTACTATCTTGTCGTCCACCCAGGCGGAATCGACGCGTTCGAAGCAGCAATGCGCTATGTACAACGTCAGCCAGCAATATCTTAGGAAGCGATCGTTGCAAATTACCTCCTCAGGTCGTTCAGGTAAGTCCTGTTGCGAACATATCGGCGGAAATGAGTGATATAGCTTATTATGGAAGAAATGAATTCAACCCACAGCGGTGGTCATCTGATGTATGTTGTCGAAGAGATTGTCAGTGACGACGCTTATATGAGGCGTTCAAAGCTAAAGATCCGGCCAGTGGGATTTGAAATTAACAAAAGCGAAGGGGTCATATGCGCTGCGTCATCAAGTACCGATATTCCACGAGTTCGACCCGGCCAAGGAAAGAGCCGTTATGGCCACATTGTTGCAAAGCATTCTTCCTGTCGAGTTGGTTACCCTCAGGATCCTTTGTTGAAACATAGGTCACAGGGTGTTCATCCGAGCGAATCCCGAGCACCGAGCCAATCGCGGTGCTGTCAAGGCGGTGATTGTACTAGTCACAAAGCCCACGTCTTCATCCTCGTTGCTTTGTTTATATTCCATCAGATTCATGGCATTAGACTTGTTCTCGAATCCGGAGGACGCTGTCGCCGGATGTCCTCGTTTGACTTCCTCAACCTTCACGTATAAGATCCCAAGATACCCTATATGCCATAGTCATCGACTTAGTTTTCCGACGCACACTACACAATGTTTGTCCCCCACGCTCTGATAATTGAAAGCAGTGCATTGACATATTTGCATTTGTGTATTTTTGAAGCATGGTGACCATCCTACGCACCTTCGGTGGTCAAGATAACATTGAAGAAGCGTATCACTGAAATCGCACTCAGGTGTGTAGTTTTGTGCGCGTACATGCCTATAGACCTAGGACCTATTATTCGCCTCTGCAGATCGTCAACGAATTCGTTAAAATTAAGAAGAGCCCCAATCTATATCATGTGATAGCGGATGCCCACAGTTGAGCTAGCATTCCAACCGTCGTAGAGAGAATTCAAGCTCTAGTGTGAGTGCAGGCTCCCCAAGCATCCAATTCTTATGTTTATGTAAGAGATTGCTGTAGATACGGCAGTCAAGTATTTCCACAGCCTCCTTTGAGCACTACGATTACAGCAGTTACCAAGGGACAAATTTTCAACTCGAAACGATGTTCGATCTCGTCGTGTGGATTTTCTCCGTCACTGGAGAGACACCTAGCAACGCCAATGTAGCGAACTATTTCTATCCGCTCACGATTCTCTTTGCGGTTTTCTGCCTGACGTTGTCGACCAGCTGAAAGCAACCTCAGATGGTCCAAATTACTTGGTTCACACAGGGGTCCGCTGGACGGATTTGCCTCCGTGCAAATTTGGACAGGCTCGCGAAGGATCGGAAAGACGCCGCTAGGGTGAGGCGGGCGGAAAAGCTTGTGCATGACCAACTCGCTACCAGTGTGAATGAGTGATGTGTAACGGGAGCTTCACCTCAGATCGGAGGGCATTGCGCAGAGTCGTTCCCATTCTTGTTCATCAAATCGCAAGTCTACTTTTATTGTACTTATAATCAAGGCTGATTATTCGTCCCCAGAATTCATGCTCATGCACACGTGAACACAGCTCATGGTTTCGCAACGAAGCCAAAGCTAGCACTATGGAGGGGCACACATATATCTACGGTCCCCAACGGCGACGAGCGGGCGCAGGTTCTTGAGGACCCTTGTGGAAATTACGTTGAACTCATACCTCGTGTGGGAATGGTCGTGAAAATTTCCGCATTGACCATCTATAGCCACTCTTTCCTTGGCGACACAACATGCAGCACGTTTACAACGTATTCCGTACTCCGAACTCTACGTCGGCTCTATATCATCACAATGGCACGTTCCATTTGCTCTGTAATCATGTCACCCGCGAAGGAGGTTAGCCATTCCCAGAAATCGACGTCAAATTAGAGTGATGTCTTGCTCGTCATCGATCAGCAACATCTCTTCAGCATCAGACCCCAATACGACTCCAATTCTTTCAAACGTCCTCTCCGCTTCGCGCATGTGCAAGATTAGTACATCGAGTAAGGCTTTTCCTTCGCTGACATGACGCAGGATTGGGACACAAAACAGTCCATACGCGGGCAGGTCTGTCGCCTCATCAGCGTGTATTTGACCACATATTGCGTCGTTCACTACAAGCACGATGCCTTCCCCCTCGGAATCCGGCTTCCACCCAGCAGCGCTCAGATGGCCTCGAAGGATGAGGAATCCGCCTTTGGTTTGCCCGGTTTTGTTCTCACTCCTCACAAGAGTGACATGTGCATTCAGGACAGATACGAGAATTGATGCCGAATTTGGATTATTCAGTGATGTAGTATTCACTTCGCCTTCCACAGATGCCCATGACCAGGATGGAGCTCGGTAGGGGGCTGGTCGGAAAGAGCCTTCACCATTGCTCTGCCTGCGGCTTTCGATAAACCATAGCAGCTGATACGGCACATACATCCTCCATAGTCCTGCTAGATACTCGTCTTCCGTCAAGCGTTGCATCTCTGACGCAATCCCTGACAATGCAATTAACTTGTCTTGTGCCTTCGTCAGCCCACATTTCATGTAAGCAGAAACGATCCAATTCCAAGTGTGATACAGCCTCCAAGCAGGATCGGGAGTCCATCGAGGAGAAGATCGCAGTGAAGCGTGGTCGATGGCAGGGCTAAGGTGCTTGAAGCCAGCAGAGCCGGCATAGAACGCTTGCGGGATACCAGAAGGATACGTCTCACATGCATCTAGCTCAAAGCACTCCCAGAAGATCTGACGAGTGCTAAAATGAAGTACTCGAGGTGCGAGAAGCCGTTCTTGCACAACCCACGCACGCTTGTTAAGAGGGGCGCCAGAAACGCCATCCGTCCACATGCCAAGATCTATGACACGGACGGATCCTGTAACTCCACCGTCCCAGGTAGCCTCGACAAGGCAGGGTCGAACTATGGAGGGTAACCTTAATGCGAAGCAGCCACCATGACTATTCGACGAACCCGTAGCTGCGACATTGCAGTATGAATTTTTATAAACGAATGCCATTCGTGCTGCTTCATGTTGCCAGTCGTCCATGGAATCTTGGATGATGCATAACGAATCGATCCAGAGGTAGCGGATTTCGAATTGCTTGACGACGAAAATAGCATCTCGGAAGGTCTGAGGGAGTGAAGAGAGTGGGATACGGTCCTGCATAGAATCCAGAGTCGCCGTCCGCAGTTGTACGATTTGCGCTGATCCCCAGCAATGACTCAAAGTCATATACAGAGTGTAAGGAGATAGGTTGTTGGTTATGACTAGGCGCGTATCTTCTTCGCTCTCAGAGGATCCAACATCGAGCAGGCGTGTCGGTATCCACGGATCTTTGTCTGGAATCGATCTACAGGTGGAATGGTCCCGAAGACATTTCGCGAGCCATTGTTTAGCGAGCCCAAAGCTCGCTTCGGAGGACGTGCTCGACGGAGTCTCAGCGTCGTCTTCCATTCTACTGGTCCCTATAGAATTTATGACATCTCGACTGTCAAAGGACGGATACTTCAACGTACCTTCAAAATCCCCTGCTTCGACGACGAACTGTCGAACAAATGGCTGGCCGTCTCCGCCAACCATGTCAGAGTATATCAACAGTTCGCATGTTCCCTCCGGCGCATAAGACCAAGCATCCGACAAAGAGTAACGAGTGAAAGATTCAGACTCGTTAGCTTCGGGGTCAAATGAAAACTGGCCCGTCATGCCATCCCAAAAGGCGGAACAAATGTAGCAACCCTGTTTAGCTGCATTCCTAAGGCCGGCTGCAGTTTTCTGGTGGTTATGCCAAACGAAGTCGAGATCCTCTGGACCAAACGAAAATTTGGGATTCGATTGAAAGATGGGGGTACAAGCCGAGCAAAGCATCGTGAGATGATAGTTCAAATTGATATGATGCCTACCCGTATCTCTTCATTTCTTTTGGCAGTTAAAGCCAAACCACATTACTCAAGGAGAGCGAGGAGAGTTGTTTATGACGATCTATCCCACAGCGTCGACGAATATCTTCGAGTCTGCCAACTGCTCAAGCGCTCAAGCATAGCCCACCATCACCATCACGTGGATTTAGATCAAGTTAGAGGTTTTGCTGCGAAGAAGCGGCTAGTTTGAGTCAATAGACGTTCTTGCGGTTCCCAATCTCGTTGACTGTCAGTAAATTTTGAAAAACCCTTGTAAGAACTGTAGAAAGCTGATCGAGCGTGGCAATATGGACGTAGAGAACTTCGGGATTGATCGGCTGTAATAACGCCAACTTCATGATGTATGTCAAGGCTGATCTGCAAATCTACAACTATTGCGCTCCCTAGGCGTACATCAATGCGGCCCCCTTCGCTCTCATCCTTACGTGACTAGAGTGACCCCCAGGATTTACAGTGGCGGTATGCAGCGCAACGCACCCATTGACCCGGGGTCACGAAGCAGCAAATGCGAAGTAGATATACAATTGATACATGCGATGTTACATGCTAGCGTAGCGAGTCATCCGATTTCTAAAATGCGACCCGATTATATTTAATAAGATAGACCTTTGTCTACCACTGCTTCTCCTGCTGCAGCTGAGAGGCTCTCAGCAATTGCATACGACATTGCATTGGAGTCTGAAGTGACGTTGATCTACAGCGATCGGAAAAAGCCAAGCATCAGCACAGTAGCAAATACGATGTACAAAGAACTATGCACCATATCGAAGCCTTCTGCGGCACGGTTGGCTGACTGCTTGCCGGACGTGCAGTAGATTGCACTGAGGAAGGGGTAAACTAACCATCTCTGCAAGTTAGGAGTATGGCACACCATTTCTTTCCCTTTGCATGCGACTTGCTCAAAATTTGCTGGATCATTACCTCTACTTCGGGATGCGGGTCAGGAGATGGCGGGGGGTAGCCATGTGCCAATGAAAGATCGTAGGGCCCAATCAGAACGCCGTCTACGTACATTTAGATTTATTTAAGAATTAGGGTGAAGAATCGTACCGAGCCCATCCACGGCGAGAATCTCGTCCAAGTTCGTCATGCCATCTCGAGTTTCAATTTGTATAAGGACAATCACGGCGTCGTTGGCATTTTCTAGATAGTCAGAGAAGGAGATCGGTCCCCACGTAGTGTGTGTAAACGGGCTCCCAAGACCACGAATTCCTTTGGGCGGGAAGCGTGCCGCAGCGACGACTGATGCGGCTTGTGCGGCGCTCGAGACCTGCAGGAGTGTGGTGGCTTCATCCTTGGACCATGATACAAAACTTAAAGCACGCACCATTGGTACCAAGACCCCTCTCGCGCCAGCATCCAGCACGTATTTGATCTGCCATGCCACACTTCCGTCTGCACATGCACCGGTCGCAGGGATACGCACGATAGTACTGGGAGCATCTGGTCCGAGTCCGGAGACAGCCTGGATGGACTCACTTGCACCGGGGTGGAGGGATGTCATCCCATGTTCACAATCGATGAGGACCCAAGAGAGGTGCGGGGAGGAGAGAGAAACAGTTCGTATGTTCAAGGCACCAGGGAGTGTGATCCATGCCCCGAAGGCGGGTTTCAAAGCGTGGAAAGCTGACTTCAGACGGTGGGCAGCCATGATAAGTGCGACGTCTCTGGAGCTAGTATTCCGATTTTAAATGCCTTGAGAGAGGGAAAAGGGGAGCCGTCGGTGCACCACATTGGCTACGCGAACCAAGTCAGATGGGAAACCCGTAGCCGGATTCTCGGACCGTGTCCCGCTGACCTCGCAGGCGAACGTCGCGGGCCTACTTAGCAAAACTTGTTAAAAAACAAAATGCTTCTACGTGTGAGCCTCACTTCAAATAGCT